AAGAGAAACCCCGTTTGTTAACCATATGAAATATGAGTTTTAATTTATGTACCTACTACTTATACTGACTATCATTCAGATCCCACACAACCCCACTGTTTCTGTCTGTGACTGACAAAAACAGCAAATGCCACATTATTCGCTTATCACACACACAACACACACTTAGTACACACAAAACAACAAAAGTGTAACGCAAGCAAAGTGTAGACACTCCTTATCTCAACCACTGTACTATTATTATACATCAGGCATTCATATGTACTCTCTGCGCTTATAATATTTATAATTATATTTATGCACATACATACTCTATATATCGGTCTCAAAGATTGTGTGGCACTAAGCATTTTATTAAATGAAATTTGACAGTATTTATAAACAAAGGTATTCGGTGGAAAAATTAAGTCTCTTATTTACTATTGGGGCTTTTATCTTTTGGCCAAAAATAATAATCCTCTCTGAAAAACCAATTTTTTTGTTTAGCCTATAAGTTTTGCCTGTTAAATCAAATAGCCCCAATAGTTCATATAGTGCAATAGTTCAATCAGTTTGATAAGATCTTGTATAACAAACTGTTTTGTATATCAAGTTATCGAATCCAAACTTATCCAACATCAGATTACTATATAATATAGTTAAAATAGTAACAGTCGTTCGGTTTCTTAAATATGTATATGATATAAAATAGTTAGTAATATTATTTATATATATATATAATTCTGATAGTGAAATTTAGATGTCAAAAAGTTTACTCCGGTCTACAAGGGTATATGATCTTCGTTGGGGCTACGATATCCGTTCTTTTTTGTTTTAATGTTCTTATCAATTTGTATTATTTAATCTTTTTTGCTATGTAGAAAATATTTGATTTTCTACGAGCGTACAATCAGAATTTCCATTTTGTTGCTTTTATTTCATAGTTAAACTATTCTAGACTGCGTTAGAGTTATCGATTATGTGGCACATATGTAAATTAAAGTATTATAATCGCTTAATGATTAGAATTATGGTATACAATAAATTAGTAGAGTAAAGTATATGGGTAGTGTACGGTAACAAATTGAGAACTGCGATTTTTAGCTCTCTTTCTTATATAGAACGATCTATACTCAATATTGTTGAGTAATTGCGTTATTCCATTGACGCAGATTCTTTCATTTCTCCCATTTGACATGCTAGCGGCGTGCGAGCACTCACAATGTGAATGATTGTTTCTGAGTGTGTATAAGTATGAGTATAAGAATGAGAATGAGAATGAGAATGAGAATGAGTATGAGTATAAGTATGAGTATTCAAATGTTTGTGTGTGTGTCTCATTAGCGCGTGCCTCTCACAAAGATTTTGTTTACGTTTCGGGCAACGCAAACGAGTCTCACGTTTAGCCATAATATTTGCTTATCTATTGCATATCCGAAAATCCTTAATTGCCGATAAGTATTTTTGCAATTGTTTAGCAAAGCGTCACATTTATTGTTGGCTCAGAATTGGACTTGAAGTTTCAATTGCACTTAAGGTGTGTTTGAATTGTTTGTATATTATAAGTTGAGTAAGCTTACTCGAAACGAGTGCCTTTCCAATTGAATATTATATTTGGTTTTATTTCATTTTCTTTAATTGTTAATGAGTTCGTTAATGCAAGCATAATTACTTAACTATTTAAAATTGCCAGAAAACGCTTGTTTAAAACGTTTGAACTCCAAATGTGAAACATTAAGGGTATAATGAAGTTGTGTAAAAGAATGTAACAAGCAAATAGATGTAGTCATGGGCGTCTCTCTATTTTGAAGATAAGTTGAATATAGAATACAAATCGGTTGCCGATAGTAATAAAAGTCACAATTGTGAATAAATAATCTTCTTAATGATATAAAATAATTATATTCAGACACATTATATAACAGCTGTATGAATTTCAGAAAAACTGGTTATGTTAACCAAAATGCTTTTTTCATATTGATCATATTGGCTCCAAGTTGAGCTGTCTTGACCAGAGCTTTTGAACTTGTTGTTAATTGCAGCTTAGATACCAGGTATTTGAGTCTAGTTGTTATTCAAATTATAATTTTGAATTAGCTTAGGCTGTGCAACTGATTGCATGATTTTCTGGAATAAGGCTCGAATCACTCGAATTATTAAGATTACAATATTCTATATATATATAAATACGTGCGAATGTTTATAAAAAGTACACGTGTTGAGCTCTTTCCCGCAACGCTTGAAGTCACTCGTAGCCGGAAATAAAAGCAACAATAGTAAACAAAATTAATTTAAAAAAAAAATATAAATAACAAATTTAAATAAAAAACTGCAAGCGCTTCTGTGAATATTTAAAAGCAATTCATTCGATTTTAATGAATAACCCCTTGGCCTTCGTTGCGCAGCCGCTCCTCCGCCTTTAAATCGCTTAAGCAGGCCATTAGCATGCCCAGAAAGTCACTCTCTACGGCGGAGGAGTGGTGGAGGGTAGATACGAACTCAACTCGAATTGTTACTTTTAAATAAGTGAATGTGCATTGTGAGCTTATGTTCTTTTCGCTTTTAATTTTAATATTGGGCAAATCAAAAAAAAAAATAAAAAAAAATACAAATAAATAAACTGTTTGATAATGTTATTTATCAAAAAAGAGTGATGAAATTTGGTGACAGGTACAAACGACACGTTTTTGATAATATATAATAATATTTATATAATATATATAGATATCTTTACAGAGATCATCTAATCAAATTCGGTGAAATAATAGGATTCCATAATTCCCAATATTTCCGACTTTCACATTCTTTACAAGTCGTGATTCCGTTGTGCAACAACTATATAATAAATCGGGAAAGCAAAAAATGTTTGAAATTTGCTACAAAAAAAAAGCGGTTTGTTTGACTTAATACCAGATATAACCAATATACGGTTTTTATTTGTTAAAAGAGTAATAAAAAAATAAATTTTTTATTTTTTTTTTTGTATCGTATGTTTGCTAAATAATTAGTTAAACTTTTTGCTCTTGAAACAAGTAATTTTGGTTGCCATGTGGAGGTAGGAAGTTCAGAAGTGCTTAGTTTGTCAATTTGTCTGCACACGCGTCGTATGAGTAATGGTTAATTTTTATTCAGTCTAACTGTCGTCTGTTGTCTGACGTCTGTCTGTCTCATTGTTTATCACATGCTGATTTGGCGGCGTGTTTAACATGAAAAGCCTTGCAAAAAAAAGGGGGGCACAACACAGCAATCAATTTGCCGTTTGTTGTCAACTGGCTTCTTACGAAAACATAATATTTGATTTATTATCTGTTTGTCAGCTTAGTTTTATTTTACTTGTTCGACGGCTGCGCGCGTTTTGATAATTAATTTGTGTTACCTTTCCTGTCCTTCGTCTTTAATTTGAGAAACTTTATTACATTTCTGTATATAAATGTTTAATAAATAAATTAATACATTTTGTTAAATATTTAATTTCACAAATTTCTGTAAATATTTGTGTGTGCCATTTTTTTCTTGCTACGTGCCGCCGTGGCCGCATCATCATTATATAATCATTAAATAAAAATCATATGTTTGCGACCTTATTTCGTGCATTAATCACGATACGCGTTTAATAATATTTTTGTCTAGAAACTATTTCACTGTTGCTTTCCGAAAGCTCACGAGTTTTTCTTGGCATCTATTGGCACTTTCTTTTCTATATATTTAGGTAGAATTTGTCATCATATTAATTGGCAGCACGACGTGAGTTCAGTGCACTCTTAAACTATTCTTCATATGTATAAATATAATATATATTTGTATATACAATGATATTTTTGGTTTTGGTTCAGTCAATTGATAAGAAATGGAAAATAATAAAATTGCTTGTGTAGTTTTCAGTTGAGGCAACCATCATCGTTGAACATGCTAATTGCCTTTAATACACATATATATACATTTTAAAGATGTCGAAGAAACCAAAACTTCCACTACAAATGAGTTTAATGTATTCCTCTATATTGTGTTGGTTTTTTTTATTATTATTATTATTGGTTTTTTTTTTAAGGCAACTGAAATGGTGCCAAGGCTTTCATCAAATTACTTTGTCATTATCAAATTACTTTGTTGCTTGTCAGCAGGCTCTGGCTATCTTAAGCCACTAAGCGCTGCCACTTGAGTTCTTGAGTTGCTGTTAACAAACAAAAGAAGTGTTCTTGGCTAAAAGTGAAAGGCTCAAAAAACGTACTCTGAAGTCCATGACAGAATTACGTGGAACGAAGTTATTCCACAGTCATTTTATTAACTTCTCTGAAATTGATGAATAAAATTTCACATCCTTTTTAAAACCCTGTCTAATACTTACTTAAAATAAGAAACTAAGACAAGCCTTTCATATAAATCCAATTATTTCTAAACCAACAATTTTGAGACCAAACCACAACCCAGAATTTTTGGTAAGGAATATTCATATAAATTGCTGTGCTAAAGGAAACCTTTCCTTTCCTACCTGCTTGCTTAGCTCCCTAATGCAATTAGTTTACTTTCTTATTTCAGAATGCTGTGATTATTTTTCCATACGATTTAATCTAAATCCACACCCACACACAACACACACACGTGCATTCATACACACAAACGTATTTGCTGTGAAAATATTCGCAATTTGCCGTGAACTTTGACAGCATCGCCTTGTACCAGCGAATATTGCGAATGTTTCGCTCAATTGAAAAATTGTGCGCTGCTCGCTCGCTTCAATTGAATCAAATCAAATCAAATAAAAAAGCAACAAATCGCCACAATTGAAATGTACGCATTTCTGTGCCACTTGGCATTTAAATATCACCCCTTCCCATTCCCTTCCCATTCCCCAGCCCAAACCCAAACCCAGCGGCAAGCAAAATTTTGCGAACCCCGTATAACGTCAAGAGAGTGGTCTACGTGATCTCTGGCACAGCTAAGATCTAGCTTTAAGCTTTCAATATTCGATTAATCATAATGCAAAATAATTAAATTTTATTTGTTTTTCTCGAACTTTGCAGGAACAATGAAAAGCGCAAGGAAAAGTCACGCGATGCGGCGCGCTGTCGTCGTTCCAAGGAGACGGAAATCTTTACCGAACTATCCCAGGCCTTGCCCGTTAAGACCGAAGAACTCAATCAGCTGGACAAAGCATCTGTGATGCGCATTACGCTTGTCTATCTGAAAATTCGTGAAGCGTTGTCATTTGGTAGGTGCTGCCATTGCCCGAATTCCATTACCATATTGAAGATATAACGATAACTGTTTTATATGCAGTGCCCTCGATACTCCTTGACTGCGCCGACCGCAACGAAGCAGCCGCTGCACTGGTTAAGCTCAAGATTGAAAATCATGCCGATAATTGGCTAGACTGTGCAGATGCGAGCCAATTGCTGAAGCAGACAATGGATGGATTTTTGATAGTGCTATCCAATGAGGGAGATATCACATATGTAACGGAGAATATTATTGATTTTTTGGGCATCACAAAGGTGCGTCAAAGTATATTGTAGAAGATATCTTTAATAAAGCATTTATAGAATACTAATTTGTAATTAAAATGAATTCCCGAAAAGCAAACATCAACAAGCAAATGAACTTTAAATTACAATTTACAAGTAAATCTTTGATTAATATACATTTGATTTCTTGCAGATTGATACGTTGGGCCAGCAGATCTGGGACTATGCTCACCAGTGTGACCATGCGGAGATTAAGGAGGCACTTAACCTCAAACGCAATGTCAAAATCAAGGATGAGCAGCTGCTCGAATCGGGGGTCAGCACATATCATCGTGATCTGTTTGTGCGCATGAAGTGCACGCTAACCAGTCGCGGACGAAGCATCAACATCAAGAGTGCCTCATACAAGGTGAGCATGCACATCAAGCATCTCATCGTACATTATTGACGAAATTGAACTTTATATCTTGCAGGTTATACACATAACCGGACATTTGAGCGTCAATAGCAAAGGTGAACGGGTGCTCATTGCCATTGGCAGACCGATACCGCATCCATCGAACATTGAAATACCGCTGGGCACCAGCACATTTCTGACCAAACATGGCCTGGACATGAAATTCACCTATGTGGACGACAAGTGAGCATTGCAGTTGGATATATTTTTGATTTAATTCGTTGCTAATTTGCATTGTTTGTTTGTTTTTGTAGAATGCACAGTCTGCTTGGCTATTCGCCTGGCGATTTGCTGGAGACATCGCTATTCGAATGCCAGCATGGCGCCGACTCGGAGCGTCTAATGGCCACCTTCAAGAGTGGTAAGTGTTCGACTAGGGAAATTTGCTTGCTGCTGCTGCTGCTGCTGGCGCTTGTTCATTAAAACAAACTAATGTTAAACTAATTACTTTAATGTACAAATTAAAATGCGCTCGTCTCTCGTTAGTTTTGTGCCACGACGCATAAGCGAAAGGGCGTACGGACGTCCTGTTAATGTCCCTGCTCACATCAAAACAAAGTTGTCACTCGTTTGCCGCTTTTTTGTCCGTCACTTCCTGTCACATCCTGTCACGCCCAATCCCACAATGTCCAACGGTGTCCTGCAGCAGCCATCTCCACTAGTTGCCGACCGACTTGCTTATTGCATTTAATTAGTTGTAGCACGGTGTGTTCATCCAGCTGCTTTTCGCGTGTCCCTTTTTGCGACCAGGAAAGGGTCCATTGTCGTTGTGTGATTGTGTGTGTGTGTGTGAGTGTCTTTGCTTTAATTTCACTTTAGTTGCTAATTAGCTTTTGCAAAACTAAATAAATAAATTGTTCTGGCAGTTTGGCTCCCGCCTCTCCATCCATCCCTAGGCAGTTTCTGGTTGAGCGCCCAAAAGTTTCGCTGGTGTTAACTTTTTCTGATTTCATTAAACGCATTCTCATCAAAATTGCCTTATTAGTTAATAAACATTATTGCAGCTAATTAGCTAGTTATTCCACTTGATAACTTGATAAATGCAATAACCGAATCTAATCAATTTATAATAATTATACTTTTTAAGATAGGCATTTGATTTAAGGTGCATTTGAATTGATTAATGTTGGAATAACTTAACAGCTATCAATAAAAATATTCATTCATATCTATAGTATTTTATATTCCAATTTCATTATAAAAAGATTTATTTAATGATTTATTAATGAAGTATATTTCACTTAAAAATTAATCTTTCGAAATAATTGATTGCAATTCCTTATTTACACATTGCTTAGTAATTCAAATAATAAATAGTTGACAAAAATAGGTTTACAATTCAAATTGTGCTAATAGATAGTCTTTTAATTTGCACCTAAATGTTGTATAATACTGGATTATTGAATATTATTTTATTTATTGTCAGATCACTAATTGATCCTTTCAACAATCAACATTTAAAGCTGCAAAACTGTGTGTAGTATTATTGTATATGTATATTTTATAGATAAATAACAAGTCGTTATAGTGTTGACCAGCTTTAACAATAGGTACAATAATAGTTATAAGGTTTCGATTATGTTTGACAACATTATTATTAGAATAATATAATAATTCGCATTCTTTAAACTTGAATTTAATTATGAACTGCAATTTGGTATTTTTATTTGAAATAATTTAGTAGCCAATCCTAAAGGTATGCAATAAATCTTTAGAGGAATTAGTTTCGAAATTGGAATTCAGCTGATAGTAAATCTAGAATGTGTTACTATACTGATTGTTTTAGTATTGTATATACTATATGCAAATATATATAGTATTATATATATATATATATAATTTGATATTGTTGTCAAGGCGGTCAACATGTGATTAACTAAACTTACTTGAGTGCTCTTGAAATTACATGAATCGATAAGGATTTTGAGTGAGCAATCAGAGCACTTAACTGTTGTCGAACTACCACACAAACAGTGGCTGCAATAAGTTGTGCCTCTATCTTTACGGCTGTTTAATCCTGTAAGGATATGAGATATATGAGTGCATTTCTTAAGCATCACCAGCTTTCGTCATCAGCTGCCGCCGCCGCCGCCGCCGCCTTCACAGACTCTAAAATATGAACATTTTTGGGTCTTTACTAATTTGTTCGTTGCTCTGCTTGCTCGTTGGCAAGTTTTAAGCCATTGTTTGCTTATTTGTTGCGTTTAATGGCCGCGTCATGTCGTCTACATTGACCAAATAATGTTTTTGGTACGTTGCAGTCGTTGCACTTAAAATGCCAACGCTGGGCAATAAAAGCGCTGCTGCTGCTGCTGCTCCTGCTGACCATTGTTGGTACATTGTACCCCAAAGAAGAGAACGCATCCTGTAAACAAAAAAAAAAGAAAAGGAAAGAAAAAAAATGTAAAGAAATTGTCACTGTACTACAATTGGAATTATTATTGGCTGCAATGACTTTGGCTTCTTGGCCAACAGAGGCACCAGCAGCAGACACGTTCTGTGCGAAATGACTTTCGGTTTTATGATGTCGACATGCATTCGACCACGGACTCTGACTCGGACTCGGACTGGACCTTAGTGGTCTGGATTGCTTAGGAATGCAGCTAGTGCTGCTGGTGGTGATGGTGATGGTCTGGTCTTACAGCTCCAGCCTGGTTGCTGCATCCGGCTTGTGCATATCGCATATCGTTAGCCAAGTTTGCGAAGCAAGCTGTAAAAATGTCTTCGAAAGTCGTAAAAGTATTTCATACATTTTTTGTTTTTATTAAGTTGCTGCCAGTTAGCAAAGCAGCAAAGCAGCTGACATGCCCCCAACCCAAACAGCTCCCTCTTAACTTTCTTCTTGTTTTTTTTTTTAGTTTTCTTAAAAGCACACTCTTGCCATATTATTGTTTATGATCGCTGTCCATTTTTATTTCCATTTGATTTTCATAAAGTTTACATGCTTTTGATACGTCGACATGAGGGAGAAATTTCAGTTGCAATTCCATTTTTCTGCTCATTTCTGACTTAAAGCAGCACTTGATGCAGCAGCGGCGAGCGCGTTGTGACAAACAGTTCAATAAAATACAAAATGTGCGGAAAATCGCAAATGTCATGTGCGGAAAATCTCAAAACGTTTTCCACGTTTAGCCAAAGCTGCTGCTGTTGCTGCTGCTGTTGCTGCTGTTGATGTGCATTGAAATGGAAATGCGAAATGGTTAACGGGGAGAAAAAATAGAAGCATTTCCAGTGCTGCAAATAAAGACGACAATTTGGCCTCGAGGCGAAAAATTATGAAAGGATGCTAGCAAGGAAAATGTGTAAAGAATTCAATGTGTGTGTGTGTGTGTGTGTGTGGCGTCAAAAGTAAATTTAACGTGCCAGATAAATAAACCCGCCCAGAGAGATAAAAGCGAGCGCGTGGCAAATGTTGCAATAAATTTGCAACGAAAAACAATACCAAAAAGTGGCGCTGGCAGATTTGCAGAACAGAGATCGACTGTTGCGTGAGCAAAAACTTTTCTGCAAGTGGGGTCCGTCACAAATGCATTTCCCTCAAGTGGTGGGGGCGGGGTGGTTGCAAGGGGCATGCAACTGCTGCGGGTGCATTTGCCAGGCATTCAACTTTCAACTCTTGCTTCGCTGCAAACTTCCTGCCACAGAAGGCGAGGGTCAAAATGACAGTTGGCTGCTGTTGTATTTGTTTTATGCTATTCCTATTTTTTTTGTTGATTTTTTAAAATATTTTTTTTTTTTTGGTGCGAATTCTGTGCATTTGTTTTTTTGCATGTGTTTTGTTTTATTTTATTTTTATCACTTTTGACAGACACGTACGAGGCAAGCAGAGTGTTGCCAAGTGTTGCACAGTTTTGTGGGGGGCGTGCCTATGCCTCAAATGTTGCCAAACAAATGCATATCTTTGCCTGGGGGGCAGTTGTTAACACACACACATACACACACACACACACACACACACACAGACACACCCCGTTATATACCTCCTCCTTTTGCTGTTTGCAGCTGCCGCATTTTCAAGTGCAACTTTTGAGTCTTAACTTTATTTTTGGTTAGCTCGCGCTCTCGTTTGCTTGTGTAATCAACATAACAAGCAACTTGGCAGTTTACGAGTCTGTTAATGCCTTTCACACATACACACACACACACACACACACACACACACACACACACACACACACACACCCACACCCACACACCCACACACCCACACCCACACACCCACACACAGAAACACCCACCTAGACGCGCTTCCTGTGTGGAAAATGCCGTCATGTCTGTGCGGACAAAACGTTTCCTGTCAAATGTGTCGAATTTGTGATGGCAGCGTGACTGGCAATTTCAGCACGATAAATATACGCTTGAAAGCCTTCAATATTACCCAATTAATCTTAATATTTACGTTGGTAATTTCCTTTTTCATGACTAATTTCCACTTTTGATAATATGAAAATAAAAATATGTACTTATCAAATTTGATGACAACTCGTATTTGCAACTTATTATCAGCACTCTGTGCAACTATTGAGATATGAACAAATTCTACATAATTTAAACCATTTCAATTTTAGCTGCATTTGATTTCAAGCATGTCCTTTTTCGTCCTTTTTTAAGATTTCTTGTTGAGTATTTTTTTTAGTTATATTCTACATTTCAATCCCGATACGAGAGATGCGTTGGCAGGCTCTAATTGTATTTGTAATATGAATTTTAAATGAAAAGAATTGAGAGAAATTAAGTATAAAATTCCCAAAACAATATATAATGAAAATATGCAGCCAATAAGAACAAAAAATATGTAAATTATGCGAAAAATAAGCTATTCGATTTCACGCTTTCCGAATATCGATACAAATCGATTTCGATAGCATTCAAATTGATTAATAATATTACCCTGACAGATTATTGATCAGCACAGATTTTATTAATCAAAACCTAATTTTCTTCTGAAAAAATCGACTATCAGCAAACCCACAAAGTATTTAAAAGCTGTTTCTAGGGTATCCCCTAGTCTAGCTGTCTCGATTCGAACATTTCAACTTTTCTTCATTAATCTTTATGCTTTTAAGGAACACATGCCTTAGAAATGACATGATTAATGCATAGATCAAATTTACGCAAAAAACTTTTTCGTTTTTCTGTACTCCAAATTACACACAATTTTGTTAACGATGTGTGTTTTTCAACTTATTTCAAAATATTATTTCCAAGAAGAAGAAAGAAATACATATATAATATGTATATTTTCCAGCTATTCACTTGCAAGTTATATATTCATTATTATTGTTGATCACGCTGTGGACTTGTGCCGAGCGCATCGCTAGCATTGATATCGATGCTGCTGACGCTGTCAAGTCGTTGCAC